ATACATACATACATACATACATACATACATACATACATACATAACATATATTTTAAAGGTGGAAAGCTAAGAGGACAATAAATATCCTGAAGGTGTGTGACCTTGTGTAATATGTCCACTCTACCCTCAAGTGAATGATTTAAAACAACTGTTTAGTGCCTGCCTCCCCTCCTTGTACCCAGACATGTAAATTTATTTCATGGATTTATTATAACCCATAATGCAACCGAAAGTGTTGTGTTTTTAAGCTGGCTGAAATTTGTGGGAGCTGTAGCCGCAGAACATTTGGATCCAGGTTGAAGAAGCCTCGGCTAGGCCAGGCTGAGAGAATGGCCTGAGCCAAGGCTGCCGCTGGTTGAGTGGAGCTTTGAATCGGGACCTTTCTGTTGAAGTCCTGTCTTTGTCCACTGCAGCTAGACTTCGGCTGTCATCAAAGGGTTCCTTATAGTTCTCCTGATCAAACCGAGATGGCTGCTCAGACTGTCATGGCCTGTACCAGTTACCCCCGTCTTTTTCTTGGCCCCTATTAATCTGCCTCTCATCCTTCTTAGGTCCAAGCAGCAGCTTTGGATGAGATGTTTCAACAGACTGAAGACATTGCCTTCCGGTACCACAAAGCTGCGTTGCTGTTGGAAGGCCTGGCAAAGATTTTACAGGACCCAGCTGACATTGAAAACATAAACCGTTGTACGTGGTAGTGCTCGTTTTATTGGTTATGTACTTAGAACAAAGTGCAGTACAGACATAGAATAAAACTGCAATTCATAGATTACAATTAATATTATAGATTTATATTATATATAACTATATGTATAATTATAATATAAAATGAGCCTCTAAATTAAAAATGTCATGACATATATGAACTTCTGTATACAGTTAGTCCTTGACCTATGACCATTTGTTCAGTGACTGTTCGAAGTTATGACAGTGCTGGTGGTTTCAACTGGTCCTCGGAGTTCTGGCCGTCCCAGCACCCACGCAGTCACATGATCACAATCTGGGCGCTTGGGAACCAGTTTGCACTTACAATCATTTGCAGTGCCCCGTAATCACATGGTCACCATTTGTAACCTTCCTTGCCAGCTTCCTCAGAAAGTCAAGGGGGAAGCAGGCGGGGAAGGTTGCAAGCCACTAGGGCAGTGTTGTCCAAACTTGGCCACTTTAAAATGAGTGGGCTTCAACATGGCTGGCTGGGGAATTCTGGGAGTTGAAGTCCACTCATTTTAGTGGCCGAGTTTGGACAACACTGCACTAGGGTAAGTCTCCCCCATCCGTGCACCCTCCCCCAGCCCCTCTGAGCGTGTGCCGCACCACCACTTGTGCACCCATGTGCACTTTCCCTGACCCTCACCACACCACCTGCACGCCCTCACTGCGCCTCCCTCGCTCCCTCCCTGACCCGGCGGCAGCCACTTGCCTGCCTGCTGGCCTGGCGCTTAAAACTTCCTGCTGGTTTCCCCACTAACTTTGGTTGTGGGAAGCTGGCAGGAAGTTGCCTCACCTAATGACTCTGGGATTTAGTTAACGACGGCAACCAGGACCACAGGGATTGCCATCGCTAAGCGATGCAGTCACGTTTTACAGCCACATCGCTTAGCAGTGGAAATTCCAGTCCTGATTGCCATTTGTAAGTCGAGGACTACCTGTCTTCAAAGTAACAATTAAGAATTACACAGTGGCTCAAATCAGTATTAGTGAATTCTAAAGTGAATGAATTAATTACTTTATTGTAGTCAGACATAACAAAATTAAAACACTGGAAACTAGTCGCTGGCAATGATTAATCCTCTCTGGGTGGAGTTTACACGTGGTGTAACAGACTTTTGCAACATTTAAAAAAATAAAATTACCATCTAATGAACAGTTGAAATAAAACATCTCAGAATGTCTCAGAGTTTTAGATAAAATAGAGGTGATAAACTGAAGGCAGATGTTCCTGTAAAATGGCTGCAAACAAGAACGTGGGTCGTGATGCCTCTTGCACCTGAAATACCAGGTTGTCATCATGCTGCAAAATTAATTTTTCTCTACTTTCCCTCCAAAGTTGCTGTTAGGAGCACATTGAAACAAGCTAGAATTACAGCTCTTTTAAAATAAGGGGTTGAAATTTAATATAGATAAGGGGCTGGTTTGAAATCTGAAGATTGATTATGTATAAGTACGTAAGGGATGCAAGAATATCTATACAGATAGAATATCTGCACAGTCATAATTGAAATTTGAGCTTCTGTAAAGCAAAACTTACAAAACACCACTAACTTACAAGCAGTTGTAGATCTGTCTTGGCCTGGCTCGTTCTGGAGCCTTCAGAAACAAGCCTACCTTGTTGCAGTCCCAAACTTTTCAAGATTTTCCTTGAGCAGCCCAGAGCGGGCCCGCAGGCTTCAGTGCAGAGCAAGGCGTTGCTCATGCCCAACCTGGAGTCTTAATGCTTTTCCTTCTCTTTCAGATAAAGCTAGTATTGAGCGGAGACTCTCAGCTCTTTGTTGCAGCGCAGTAGCTGTTTATGAATAGAAGACCCCCTGCCCTGCTCCCCGGGACCACTCAGTACGGCCAATCTTCATGCTTCCTGTCCCAAAAGAAAGGCGGCTTGTACATTTCTGGGGTTGCCTGCCGGAGGGGGGGAAAAACAGTTCGTGGAACAGAAGAAAATGCAAACCATTTTGAAGGAGATTTGCCCTATGACAGCGCCCCGTCCATCTTTCGCTTCACGGCCAGATGGGAAAGACTCTTTTTGCCACGTCCACCTCAGTCCTGATCTCGCAGGCAGCGGTTCAGCTTCCTTTTAGGTTACGAGAGAATGGAGCGTTCTTCTCCAGCAAGATCCAAAAGAGGTTGGCTCCTGCTTTGGGAAGGGGTGGGTGGCTTCTTTGGGGGACAAGACCGCTGAGTGAAGGCGGGAGGTCGTTCGGCCTGGACTTCAGTTCTGTGAAGCTTCGAAGCCGAGCATGGGTTGTGTATGCCCCACCTCAAGCCATCAGGGAACTGGGCACCTTTTGCAAAAACAACTGAGAAGGGGGGGGGGTTGTTTTTTAGTTGAGAATGGGGCATCACTTGAGAATCCCTGAAACAAACATTTAGCAATTACCGTAGATGTGCGAGCTTGATGTTCTTCCCAAACCCTTCCCCCTGAACACTTTATATTGCACTAATTTACTAAACTGTGTATTTGTTTTTTTTTTTAATACTGTTAATTAAAGAAAAACAAACACAGAAAAGGCACAACTATGAACTTTTGCTGGTGGGGCAGGGGGGATATTTCATGATATACTTTGCGGGGTGGGGGAGAGAAAGATCGTCATCCCCCCAAAAACCCAGACTTTTCCAGAATTTCAACCCACAGCTCCTTAGGAGACTTTTCGGGCAAAGTTGCATAGATGTGTCGTAGGGTGAATTCTTCCATTTTATACCCCTTCGTCTAATATTTGAGTAACTCTCTGGACTCCTGATAACGTTCTGACGCCTGTTTCCTGCCCCTGTCCCGTATCAAAGGTTGGTTGCTTAGTTCCCCTGTTGCGTGTGAAGCTGTGCGATGGCTTCCTCTTCCCCCTGCCCATCAGATCTGAAACCCGGGTCGAAGACGACATGGCGGCGACCTTGATGGAAGAGGGTGCCGTGGCAGAGCAACGCATTAAGAAATAATTAAGATCGGGGTCGTTTGGAGCAGCTTTTGAGGAAATACGTCCTGCTGCCCCTCACCGCCTCTCCCTCCGCGGTCCTGGCTCCGTGCTTTGGCAACTTGCAGAATATCTGAACAACTTGGTTTCTTCGAGGTTGGCCCCCTTAATTTTGAGAGGATTTCTGAGCTGTCATCACTTGAAAGAAGAAGAAGAAAAAAGCTTCTTTGTAATGGAACCATTTCAATCCTTTTCTTTTTTACACCTCCTATGATGGAAGGTGGTTGGCATTCAGGTACCATCCATTCTGACGGAGTGAAGGAAATCCTGCGTGTGTGGGTTTCTCTCCTTTCCCCTTCCCTTCTTCTTTTTCCCCTTTGACAGAGTAATGTACTTTTTACTTTATTTATCAGTACAAGAGATTTCGGAAGTTAATTTGAAAGTGTTTTTTATTTATACGACGTTTGTATTTTTAGACCTTTAATACGGTGTTTCTACTACCTCTCCTTTGTAACTGCATGCGTTTATTCTTGACCCGTAGTGTAATAACTGAAGAGAAAAATCCCGTTGATAACTTTTATTATGGCCTGTATAAATGTATATTAAAGTTAAAAACAAGCGAAACAATAATAAACTGATACTCAAATGTTCCTATATATAATACAGGGTTTGACCATCGGATTGGAATCTAAGTGTTGCCATTTATTTATCAAAAACTTTTTCGGTTAGCCTAACAAAGAGGGTGAAAAATCCTGCCTCCCCCAGGAAGGTTTGGGTCTGATTATGGGATGGCAAATTGAAATTAAGCTTCCACAGAAGGACCCACTTCTTAAATAGGGAAGGGGGAGTCTGTCTTTTTTGAGCAGGCAGCTTGGGACACAGACACACACGTACCCTTGTTTTACATCCTCTGGGGCCATTTGGCTCCAGGGCACCATGTTTAGGCGGAAAAGAGGCAGAAAACTAGAGTTTGGCCTAAGATAGATTTAATGTCGCTTTAAAAAGCACCCATGCAAAACTTCCAGTTCCTCCCCAACCTGAGGAAAATAACAATCTCCATCGCTCAGCCAGAGGTCCCACCATTGATCACCGGACGAAGGTTTAAGCCAGTCTATTTCAACGTGGGCGACTTTTAAGACGTGTGGAGTTCAACTCCCAGAATTCCCCAGCTAGCCTGCTTTGAGATGGGTGGAATTCTGGGTGTTGAAGTGTGCACATCTTAAAGCTTCCAAGTTTGAAAAGAAATTGGTCTATGGTAGCAAAAAATCAGGAGGAGTCTGGTAGCACCGTTTCTGACTAACAAAATGTATTAAAAGGCATACACTTCCGAGAGCTGCAGGACTTAGATTACTTTGTCATTCTGGCAGTTTGCGAGCGCTTGTGCCTTTTAATCACTTTCGTTCGTTAGAAGAGATGCCCCCAGACTCCTGATTTATTTTTTGCAAGCCACTACAGAATAAATGGTTGCCTGTTTAATGGAAGGATGGGGCATGAATAAATCTTGGTCTTGCTCTCAAAGTTGATCTTTGGGAGTAACAATAAAGCAGATCTCTACTTCTGATTGAGAAAAGTAACCCTCTTTAGCAACTGAGTTCTCACACCCTTCCATATCTCAGCCTTGACACTAAATCTAGGTCACTGAGATCTTATTTTCTTTCCCCTGTTTATCCTCTGCTGCTACTTCCCTCCCACAGCTCCCTCTCGAATTTTAGGTTGCCAGCACAGTGCAGCAGTGAAGGTCCTCCTTTTAACCTGTAAAATGCCAGGATGCCTGACGGCCCCATGCAGATTCTTTCCAAGTCAGCAACTTTTCCAGCCCTGAGAGAGAGATTTCATCCATATGCCATTTCCTCTCTGTCTGGTCCTTTTAAACAGGATTGCAGTGAGAAATGATGAAGTGGGGTAACCAAGAGGGGAAGGACAGTTGGTGTTCTAGTGATCCTGCTGAAAAGGGGGGGGGGGTTTCCCAGAGGCAGTGGAGAAAATCTGTTCCCCATCATCTAGATCAGAGAGTCTCAATCTTGGCAATTTAAGGTATGTGGACTGCAACTCCCAGAATTCCCCAGCCAGCACGCTTTAAGATGGGTGGACATCAGTTTCCCATGCTGACTGGGGAATTCTGGGAGTTGAAGTCCACCCATCTTAAAGTTGCCAAGGTTGGGAAACGCCGATCTAGATGGACCTTCTGGCCAAGAGGACAAGACGGCTGGCCCTCTCCAGCTCCCTTGGACCCTCAATTTTTCAAAATACTGATGATGATTTGACCAGGCAAGTTAGTTCTTGATTTGTATTACTTCCAAACGGGCATCTTCAGCCTGCTTGAGCAATCCCGACCCTGACCCTGACCGGGCCAACCCAACGATATTTAGATGTCAACAGAAGAACAAAGGCAGAGCAGGATGATGGAATGTTTGCTCAGGCTTGGAAACCGTGCTGTTGCGTCCAAGCTCCGCCAGAAAGGAATTACAAACGGGGACAAGCCAAAAAGTTCATTAACGTTGCTCCTTCCTCAGGTGGAACCAGTTGAACGTTAAAGCCTGTTCTAACCAGATCATACACCCAACCGGGGAATGTTCTCTCCTTAGATTTGGCTAACCCCATCTTGGCACATTCCCAATACAATGAGATTGCAACTCCCAGAATCCCCAGCCAGCACGGGAAACAGATTGATTAGTTGCACCGCCTGTTTAAGCGCGCTCATGGGGCGGAGGTGCTATTTAGGCAAATGGCTGGAGGTTAGGGCCTTGGGTGAACTCTAAAATAATCCAAGGACTGTTTTCCACCGCTTCCAAAATTCACTCTGCGTTTTGTGTATCTTTGTGTAACACAAGGAGGCTTGGTCCGTATCTCCCAAATAATTGAGGGATAAGTTGAAAGGGCTGAAGAGACCAAGGAGATGGGCAGTCAGCTTCTATTTTTTAGTAGCTTAATCCACCTTGAGAGCCGGGTGTTTCCGTGTGGCTGGGAATTTTTGACGAAGGCCCCAGACTTCTTACTCCAACAAAGAGCTAAAAATCCCATCTCTTCTGTGAAGTAAATATATTATTATTGCCTATCTTACCGGAAAAAAAAGATTATTTGGAAAATATGTTCACTGAGCAAGTACCCTGAAGTTTATAGTCTTGCTGGCACACCTGTTCCTCAATTATGACTGGGGGAGCCCCCAAATTATTGGGGGTTCCTAGAATATAAATAAGTCCAAGTCTATTACTCAAAATTCTGCTTTAAGCACCTGCTGAAAGAACCAAAAAAACGGGCAGGAATAAGGAATTGGATTCTGCCTTAGATTCTTTGCCATCCAAAAAGCAAAGGAGAGAGAAAGTTGAACTGGTTCAAACTTTATGAAGGATAAACCTCAGAAAAATTGGATATACCTTTTGTTCCCAGAAGAGCAACCAGGCTATAAAAAATTTCAGCAGCAACAATAATAGCTTTTTTTTTTAAAAAAAAAAATCAACTTTCCACTTCCTCTGTCGAGTAAGTCAAACCAAAGGAACTCACTGAAAGAATATCTGTTGATGGAAGAATCACAACTTCTTCACGTGATCTGTTTTTCGTTTGGCTTGTTTTCCGTATATGCGTGTGTGTTTTTACATGCATGGTGTTTTAATGAGAATACGGTACAGATGAAAGTCCTGGGCTTGGATCCAAATTTGGTGCGGTGGGAAGGCAGGCTGGCTGCTTGCAAAGGGTGGAGAAAAAACTGTTTTGTTGGTGTGGAGGACAAAGGCCACTCTGAGAGAAAACAGCCTGGTAAGTCGGCTCCCTCTGTCCTTGCATGGGAGATTTAAGATGTTTGACCTCAGTCTGGCCAAAAGGAGGGTGGAAATTAATGGTTGGTCCAAAGTGGGGCGAGTGGTAAGGCACAGAGAATATTTGGTGGGTGCAGAGCAGAAGCCACCCCTTGGCACTGACCCGTAAACTTCAGGCGTAATTGTTTGGATCTGGAAACGTTCGCGGTAGAAGTTTGGCTTGACGTGTTCTCATGAAGCCCACCTGGACGTCATCGGTGAGAAAGGGGTGTGGGGACCAAGACATCTGCTCCGAGCTTTGCAATGCTTTTATGCCTTTCGATTGAAGGAGATGCTCTTCAATACCAGCTGCCACTTGGGTTCCCTCAAACCCAGTTTGTGGAATTTGCGGCCGGTTCCAAAAGGCAACTGGGAGCTGAGCCTGCTGATTGAGGCGCCTTCCAGTTGGGGATGCGTGCCACGGAGGTCTAGATTTTGCAGGCGTAACTACGGGGCGACTCCCCCCCTTACTTTGCAGTCTCAGGGAAATTGGGCAGAGAGCCTTGATGACCCATCAGGAGGAAAATTCTACGGTGGGGCAATTACATCAGTAGGACCACTGAGATGTCACAACCTGAGAAAGAAGCTTTTCTGGTTTTCTCTCCCCAAATGCTTGAGTTAACCCTTGAGGAATCTGTAGCTGAAGGAAGACGGAGGGTCAGTGAGATGTTCTACCACCTCAAAATGGAGCTTTAAATTTTCAGAGTCACATTCCCCCTTTTTCACTAGATCAGTGTTTCTCAACCTTGGCCGCTTTAAGATGGGTGGACTTCCACTCCCAGAATCCCCCTCCCCCCCCCAGCAGTGCCGGCGATGCAGGTGGGGGGGGGTGACCCCCCTCTATGCAGCCTCCGGGGCTGAAGTAAGATAAGTTGGAGAAA